AAATTTGCTTGGAGAGCTTCTTAAATTACAGTGTTGGGGTCATCGAATTCTGAACAGGAGAACTGGGGTTGAGTTCCCGTTGTCTTGGTAAAGGAGGATGGGGCCAGGTCCCGGGAACCTACATTTTTAGCTCCCCAGGTGGTTCTGGTGCCGAAGGCATCTTGGGAGCACAGGGCTCACAGGCTGCCCCTCCAGTCCTGTGACACCCACAGACTTGGCGGCCTGCCTTTGGGGGGCGGCGGAGGCTCCTCGCGGCTTTGGCGTGTTCTGGTGCCTCGTGTTCCCAGGCACAAGCGCGTGGAAGCCCCACCGAGCCCCCTGCCATGGAGTGACGTGTGTGTCCCTGCAGGGGGCCTGTCCACGATGCCGGCCGTGCACACCTTCTCCCTGTTCGCGGGGATGGCGGTTTTCATCGACTTCCTCCTGCAGATGACCTGTTTTGTGAGTCTCTTGGGGTTGGACATTAAGCGTCAGGAGGTAAGTTGTCATCAGGATCACAGTCTGGCTTATTTGAGTCCAGATTCTTGAAGCAGCCGGAGGGTGACGTCTGTTCCCCTTGGTCCCTCAGAAGAACCGGCTGGACGTCCTGTGCTGTGTGGGAGGGCCCGCGGACGGGGGCAGCGTCCAGGCCTCGGAGAGCTGCCTGTTCCGCTTCTTCAGAGACTCCTATTCTCCACTTCTGCTCAAGGACTGGATGCGGCCGATTGTGGTATGAGCCGATCTGTGGCTTTTCTTGTTTTCCTCCCCAAGCAGATTTGTCACATGCCTTCTACAAAATCAGACAGCTGGGGAAGGATCCTGACAGCTGTTAGGTATATACACAAGAGTGCAAAAGCAAGTACGTACCAATATATAAAATATTTTTAGCAGTCCATGTAAGCAAGAGTTTCTGTTTTAAGTTTTTGGTTTTTGTTTTTCTAAGTAATTACAGATTCATAGAAAGTTGCAGGCATAGCACAGAGAGGACCCAGCTGCCCTTCACCCACGTTTCTCCCAGTCTCGTTAATTGTACTTCAGTATCAAGACCAGGAGTCTGACATTAGCACCACGTATACATCAAGTTCTGTGTTGTTTTATCACGTGTGCGGACTCGTGTAGCCACCACCGCCATCAAGATAGAGATCTGTCCTGTCACCACAACACTCACCCTTGTGCCACACCTTCAGTGTCACCCGCCTCTCTCCCCTGCACTGTCCCTCGTCCCCAGCAGCCACGCAAGAGCTTTTTACAGTCTACACAAGGAACGTGGTCAACAGTGATGCTCTACTGCGTCTCTACTAAACGTAAATTCATTCCAGTGATAGTACCACCTAACGTTTGTTGATCACTTCCTGTCTGGTATTGTGCTCAGTACTGGGTTCGAGGCTAAATTCTGGGTCATCCCTAGAATTTTCTCATTTAATCCACAAAACTATCTGATGTTACAAGTCTTACTTTTCCTGTTTTATTGAGGAGGAAAAAGAGGCTAAGAGAGGCTAAGTGACTCCCCCAGGGCCACTCAGCTTCTGAGTGGTGCAGCCAGGATGCGAACCCAGGTAGTTTGGAGACTGTGATCTCAGCCACTACCCCATACTCCTTGTTTTCTTAGCTTATCATTTAAAGTTGCTTTTCAGTTCAGAAAAGTCCTGTTTTTTGTTTTCAGGGCTTTTTCTTTTTTAATTTCCATTCTTAACTTCATGATAACTCTAAGCGGTCACAGCCCCATGACTCACTTCTCATTGCAGATAGCAATATTCGTGGGTGTCCTGTCATTCAGTATCGCGGTCCTGAACAAAGTGGAAATCGGATTGGATCAGGCTCTTTCAATGCCAGATGTAAGATGCTCTCTTTTATTCTAACTCATGTAGCCCACGGTGAATACACCTTTCAATACACGCATGTGGGTGTTTTCAGCCGGTGCCTGCCTCTAAACGCAGGTGCTGGCAGGCTGTCCCAC